CTACCCCCGCTATTTAAGACCTGACCTCGTGGTGACCGCTCTTTCTACCTACAGCCGCAGCCAGCAACACCTCCTCCTCCGCCACTGCCTGGCGGCCTTCGCTCCTCCTCCGCCTGCCTGGCGGTCCTCTCTCCCGCCGGCGAGAATGGCGACCCACAAGCTGGTCCTCTGAGCACCCTCACCAACCAGCTCTCTCTACATCATGCTTGTAACCACGCTGCCTTCCCAGCACCAAGCTGCATTGTACATCCAATACAACATGTATATAGAGAGCACATTGTGAGTTTCCTTTCTCCACCCCATCCTGAGTGTGAACCAAACAATCCTGAACCCCACAATATGTTACCAGTTTTCTTTTATTTTACAAAAAAGAACATTATTGTGTTAAATTCCATTGGTACATCTACTGCATAAGTATCTTAATGCCAATTTTCTGTTTATTATCCTGAATAAGCTTTGGTTGAAAAATACTGTTTTTATGGTTTAAAAATACTATTTTAATGCAATTAGTAAAAAAAAAATCGTAATACGCCCTTCCTCTTTCATGTATCTAAGGGTTGTTAATCCGGATCTTTATATTAATGCCGTAATACGCCCTTCCTGCTTACTCAAGGGTTGTTAATCCGGATCTTTATATAAATGCCGTAATACGCCCTTCCTGTTTCAAGTATCTAAGGGTTGTTAATCCGGATCTTTATATTAATGCCGTAATACGCCCTTCCTCTTTCAAGTCTCTTATCCTTATCTAAGGATCTTCTCAGAAGAACAATATTCATAAGTGTAATTTCCCGAGGTATAACTTGGTTAGTTTCCGGGACTTTCTGGTTATCCACTGCCGTGATATTTTCTAGGGTAATCCACTTATCTTATCTTTTTGACCATTAATTAATTTATCTAGGTTTTCTTAATGGCCACCTCAGGATTTGTTTAACTTGGTAGTCCTGGAGGAGTGGAAAAGCAAGATACCATTTCACAACTTGAAGCATGTGGAGGAGCGTGGAGAGGTTAATTTAAGACGTGCTGCTGAGCTGGCTGATGAGTACGCCTTGTTGGTGGAGTCACTGTGCCGTAGGGAACGTGGTACTTCCCTACATGTTAGGTCCTCCTCTGATGATAACCTTGGGGACGTGAGTGGTAGGTCGAAAGGTCCCACACCTACCCCCCTGATGCAACCAAGTTTACTTGTTCTTACTGTAAAAACCCAGGCCATACGGTCCAGTGTTGTAAACACCCAAAGTGTCGAACTGCTAAAAGTAGTTTCCTGGATCCCAAATCCAAACCAATAGCAACCACCAATGTGGAAAGGCCCCATCAGGATCTCTTCTCTTCATTCACCTATGAGGGAAAAATTTCAATCATAGAGGGGTCTCGTTCTTTCCCTATTCGTATACTACGTGATACGGGCGCAGCACAATCCATCCTCCTGTTTAACGTCATTCCTGATATATCTACCGCATTTACTAATGAGTGTTCTAATTTCAGATCTCTCATCCCATTCTTCCTATCCTTTCGCTAAAGTGCACCTCCAATGTCCCTTGATTACTGGGGAAGTGCAAATAGCCATTAGGAAAGACCCAATGCCTGTGTGCGGCATTCATTTATTATTGGGTAATGACTTGGTAGGAGATCTAGTGGTTCCCAACATAAAGACAGTCGACTCTCCCTTACCTGTCAACTCCACCACTGACCTTGAAGAAACTATTCCTCCCCTTTTCCCATCTTGTGCTGTCACCCGGTCACAGAGTGTGCGAAATAATCCCTCTTCATCTGAAACCACCTCCAATATCTTCCTACCCACGGAAGATCTGTACAATAAGACCATTAGTAAGGATGAGCTCATTACAGCCCAACAATCTGATCCATCTTTGTTCAAACAGGTGATGGAAGACCTCAGTGTGGACCATTGTACATCTTCGGCTTACCACCCACCGTCCCAAGGTTGCTTGGAACGGTTCCATCAAAACTTTCAAATCAATGCTAATAAACTATCTCCCCCTCAACTATATAATCCATACTCCTGATCGCAGGAAAGATTCACAACTTGTTCACATTAATCTCATGAAACTTTACCATTCCAGGCAGTCAGAGGAAGACATCCCAGAGGCTATAAGCCAACCTGTATTGCATACGGTTTTGTCAGGGCCGGAGCCGGAGACAGATGACATGGACCTATTGGAGAATTTAGACTTCCCTCTACCTAAAGAAAACCCTGCTAACAGTCACATACTCAACAACTTGGATGAGTATTTTTCTGTTCTGAATCCATCTCAAGCAAAAGATCTCACCAAGTTATTATCGACATTTCCTAAAGTCACGTCAGACCTCCCAGGGTTTTGCAATATACTTAAACATGATATTAAGCTAATCTCAGATGATGTACAACCCATTAGGCAATCAGCATATCGACTAAATCCACAAAAAAGAGAGATTATGAAAAAGGAGGTAGATTTTTTGTTAAAACATAACTTAGCTGAGCCTAGTACCTCCCCCTGGGCTTCACCTTGCCTTCTCATTCCAAAACCCGATAGCACTTTTCGTTTCTGTACCGATTATCGTAAAGTGAACCAGGTCACTGTCTCAGACTCCTACCCTTTACCTTTGATTGAAGATATAATAGACAGCATAGGCTGTGCCAAATTTATATCTACCGTGGACCTGTTGAAAGGATATTATCAAGTGGGACTCACGGATAGGGCAAAAATAATCTCAGCATTTATAACTCCATTTGGTCTTTTTCAATATTTGGTTATGGCGTTTGGCTTTTCTAATGCTCCGGCCACATTCCAGAGGGCCATCAATTACCTAATTCAGGACCTAGGTGGGACGTTCGCCTACCTGGATGACCTGGTGGTGGTGTCGGACGGCTGGGACGAACATCTGGTGCGTTTGGAGATACTGTTGGCACGACTGCAAGAGACTGGATTCACCATAAACCTGGCTAAATCTGCTTTTGGCCGGGCCTCAGTGACTTACCTGGGACATATCGTTGGGCATGGTATGGTGAGACCCAAGGACGCAAACGTTAAACCATCTTGTCCTTCCCCACTCCAAGGACGAGGAAGGAACTCATGCGCTTCCTGGGGATGTGCGGCTACTACCGTCGGTTCTGCAGTAACTTCTCCAGCGTGGCCGGACCCCTCACAGACCTTACCAGTTCTGCGGTCCCTTACATCTGGAACCAGAGGTGCGACCAGTCTTTCCACCGCCTCAAAGCCTTCCTTGCCTCCAAGCCTGTAGTCCACCCCCCTGACTACACCTTGCCCTTCCATCTGCAAATCGACGCTAGCGGTGTCGGAGTGGGGGCTGTGCTCCTACAACCCGACCCAACCACTGATGTCCTTCACCCTGTGGCATACTACTCCGCCAAGTTGAAAAAACATCAGACCAACTACTCGACCATAGAGAAGGAGGCCCTGGCTCTGGTGTTGGCAATAAAGAAGTTTGAATGTTACCTCCAGTCTTGCCCACAAACAACCCTAGTCTTCACCGACCATAACCCACTCACGTTCATCCAAACCAACAAGACCTCCAACCAGCGAATCCTCTGCTGGGCTCTCCTCACCCAGCCCTATAATCTACAAGTCCGGCACATAAAGGGGGTGGACAACCTGATTGCAGACTCCTTATCCCGAGTTCCAGTGGAAATGCAGCAGCTACTCTCCAGACGCACCAGGTGATCACCTCCTTCGCGCCCGCGCTATGGAGGTCTTTGGAGGGGGGGTGTGTTACGAACCCCTCCACCAATTGTCCTGATCTACCTACCCAGCACCACGAGCAACGCCATCTAGGGACGAGACACGAGTATGACTCGTCTTAGTTACCACTCCGGGGTTTCCCTTCTCCATATCCTGGTTGTTGCGTCACTTCCTCCAAGTCTTCTTTGTGAGCTCCAATTCGAGGAGAGGACACTACACTCTGGGAAGTGACCACAGGATCACCTATCCTGGAAACCTACGGCACAGTGACTACCTACCGTCTTCTACAATACTCAGCCTTGCTCGTCAGCCATCTCAGCTCCGCACTTAAGTATTTGTAATCTTATATTGCCTCCCCCACGTCCACTTGCTTCAAAATTGTTTATGTTGTATAAATATGTATATACTGTTAATGTTTAGGTTAAGTATGGTTAAGGGTAAATTATAGATAGCTGAATATTTTGTTAAGGAATTTATGGTACTTTATTATACACAACAAAAACTCGCATCCTTTGTCTACCCTTTTATAGTCCGATTGTCTTTGTTTTTTGTTGTTGTTGCCTGTTGGGATCTGGGTAGACTTTTAACTATATTCTAAATCCCCAACTCGTAACAATATATATATATATATACACAGTCATGCGCCGGTTAACGTCCTAGATACAGTAAGTTCTTGGAAACGTGACACGTGACGTTAACCGAAATGGACGTTGTCCGATCATCACATAAACTTTTTATTTATACTTACGTGTATGTGGAATACTATATACGTACATATACACTTTTACTCTTAAATCACTACTGTAATGTGATACAGGTGATTAATTTTTATCTCTTGTGCATAATATATGACCGTTATATTAAAATTATTCACTGTTTTACAAGGATTCCAGCAACGCCAGCAGATGGGGGGGAGAGAGAGGGTGGTGTAGTTAGTCCATTGTTTACATCCTGTGTGCGAGCATGTTTCTCATCCCAGCAGTTGGATTTAACTTTTACAAACATACAGTAAGTACAGTACAGTGCAGTACCCTTATTCAAGATGACTGGAAAGAGGCCATCAAGTTGGAAGTGACTGCAGTAGTGCAAAAAAAAGCTGCAAATGCATTACATTGGATATTAAACTTGACGTTTCAAGAAGGTTTGATGCTGGAGAAAAACTTAGCCAGATTGCAAAAACATTAGGTCTTGCTACTTCAACAGTGGGAACAATACGTGATAATAAGGACAAAATTAGGTCAAGTGCTCAAGCTGCTACTCCATTAACTGCTCGAACCTTAGGTTAGAAGTGATGTGATGCTAAATATGGAACGACTCCCGAGTGTCTGGATTGAAGATCAGACTAAACGCAATGTGCCACTAAACACTATGGTTATTCAACAGAAAGCCATAAGTTTATATAATGATTTGCAGGAGGAGGAAGGTGCATCTTCTGAGGTTAAACCTTTTCTGGCTAGTAAAGGCTGGTTTGAAAGGTTTAAGAAGCGCCTTAATTTACACAACATAAAAATGAGCGGTGAAGATGCCAGTGCTGATACAGATTCTGCTAATAAATATCCTGTTGAGCTGAAGAAAATTATTGATGAAGGAGGTTACACACCAGAACAAGTGTACAATGTTGATGAGACTGGGCTTTTCTGGAAGCGCATGCCTGCTAGTATTTCCATTGAAGAAAAATCAGCACCAGGCTTTAAAGCATCCAAAGATCGTTTAACACTTCTTCTGGGAGGAAATGCTTCAGGTGACATGAAATTAAAGCCCCTACTTGTGTATCACTCAGAAAATCCATGGGCTCTCAAGGGCTATGCCAAGGCTAATCTACCTGTGATTTGGCATTCCAATAAGAAGGCTTGGATGACTATGACCCTTTTCCAAGACTGGTTCACTAACTATTTTTGTACCTGCTGTAGAAAGATATAATGCCAGGCATAACATATCTAATAAAGCATTGCTCCTCTTAGACAATGCACCAAGCCACCCAGTGAATTTAAATGATCTTTCTGATAATGTGAGAGTGGAGTACATCCCCAAGAACACAACTTCCTTGCTCCAGCCAATGGATCAAGGTGTGATAGCTAACTTTAAGGCATATTATCTTAAGAAAACTTTTTTGCAGCTCATAAAAGCAATTGATGGTGAGGATAAACCTACAATTAGGGACTTCTGGAAAAAGTTCAACATCTTGGATGCTGTGGATAATATAGCCGAGTCCTGGGATGAAGTGAAAACCTCAGCTAAGAATGGTTCATGGATAAACATATGGCCAGAGTGTGTCCATGAATTTCAAGGTTTTTCACAAGCTGAAAGTCTACAGCAAATTCAACAAGACATTGTGACACTTGCAAATAATGTAGGCTTTGAAGAAGTAATAGAAAATGATGTGGTTGAGTTGCTAGAATCCCATAGAGAAGATTTGACTAATGAAGATCTGATGATGCTGGAACAAGAGCGAGCTGCAGGACAAGAAGAGGATATAGAATCTCCACCCACCCCACTTCAGTTGACAACAAAGGATGTCTAAAGTGTTTGCACTAATACAGGAAGGTCTGCAAATCTTTGCTGATAACGACCCCAACCATGAAAGGAACATCAAGATTGCAAGAGCAGTTAACAATGCTCTCAGTTCCTACACTGAGCTGTGCAAGAAGGTGCGCCATAAACGTCAAACAACTTTGGATGAGTTATTCATCCTCAGAAAAAAGCTGAAAGCAGATGATGAAGCAGATGATGATTTACAGGGCAGGGCAGAAGAGAGTAGTGCTCCTCCCTCTCCCTCCCAATAACTTCCTTTGCACCACCAATCCTCACGCAGCAGTCAACATCTTTTGTGGTAAGTACAGTACAATATTCTTATTTATTCGAACTTTATTTCTCTTCATATTACATGTATATGATGAATTATTTAATGTACTGTATTGTATGTGTTTATAAATATTTATTTTCATTCATATAAGTGCATGAATTACGTTTTTGGGGCCAAAAAAATTCCGTAGGAACGCATCTCCAGTTTTATAATGGATGTCAATGGGAAAATAGGTTTCGCATTATGGAATTTCGCGATACGGTCAATTTTCCAGGGATGGAACCCTTCCGTAATGCGGGGGATGCCTGTATATTATTTTTGGGATTTTCTACTACAGTACTGTACTATATTATTGTTTAATTACCAATAAATTGAGATGAAACAAAATACATTATGTAACCAATAAATTACATAATTTGGAAAGTAATATATGTGTGTGTATACCTTATGATAGGTTTAAATAATATACCTGATATATATATATATATATATATATATATATATATATATATATATATATATATATATATATATATATATATATATATATATATATATATATATATATATATATATACTGTATATATATATATATATATATATATATATATATATATATATATATATATATATATATATATATATATATATATATATATATATATATATATATATATATATATATATATCTTGATAAAATCACACGGGAAAATGGAAACAACGGAGTACTCTTAGCTTTGCCTTATTCACATATCTTCAGAGGCAACTGGATTACATGGACAGAGAGAGGCTTAAATATACAGGTGACCTAAAACATGAGGTCAGGTCATAATAATGATGACATCCACTAATCCCTCACACCACACGCTTATTGTGAATTTACATGATATATATATATATATATATATATATATATATATATATATATATATATATATATATATATATATATATATATATATATGTAACCGGTCGGAATTTGCTGGACTTTAATTTCTCACTTGACTTGGGGCTTATTAAAATTTAATAGATGGTAAAGGCAGTGGAAGCGCCCCTTTGAGAAAAATCCCGAACCAGCACAAGAACACTTAAATCTACTACACAAAATGAACTGTCCGTGACCCGTGGAAGGATAGCGTCTGTGACTGGGATGAATGAGACACACTGTAAAATTTAGACACTTATATTCCCTCCAACACTACAAACACAATCAAATAATGGTACACCACTATGCGCACCTCTTAACTTAAACTTTAACCACTACTCTGGGGAATAAAAGTTATACATGACATAGAAATTATTAGAAACACAGGCAACAATAAATTTGAAGTATTAAGAAATGTTGTTTGCACACATGAACAGGCCTTAAGGGCTTTCACAAAATAATATCAGTCACTTAGGAAATGGTACTAAAAAATAAGAAATTAAATACTCTACAATGAATAGGCCTTAAGGGCTTTCAGCAAAATAATATCACTCAACAAAATTATAGCACCCCAACAGGTGTACACTTCCTAACCTAACCTAACCACTGCTCTGGGAACAAGGTTATACCTGAGATCAGAATTATGAAGAATTAGAGGCATTAAAAGAATCAAATCACAGTATCACTCTGGTTCCACTTAATGGCACAAACATTAAAAAAAACACTACTATAAAAATTATTTAAGAAATATTAAACTACACACGTCAAGATAATATCAGTCTGAGGAATGGTGTTAACTACACCCGTGATAAGGAAGATAAAATGTTCCTCTAGGTATCTCCTAGAGTCCTAGACTCACGGTCTCAGTGTGTGACCATTAATATACTCAGATAGCCTCAGTGTACTCCCAGTGCATCCATGGGCAGGAAGAGAGTGAGCCAATCAGACCTTGTGCAGTTGAGAGAAACTTTAGCTTCCCGTTAGCAAGAGGGTTTCACTAGCTGCTCGGGACATGTGGGGTTGTGCACCGGAGTGGTAAGAACTGATCACCCACTGCTGATGCTGGTCCCGTGTCGTGTTAGTTGTCGGGAGCACTCGTTCACTCAAGAGATCCTTTGCTACCCCGCTAAACAGTGACAGGCCTACACTGATCGGTCCAATGGCGACAATCGCCACCCTCAATCATCAACGGCAGTCTCAAACGACAGTCAATCTCTCGCAGTCAACTCCGGTCAACTCCAATCAACTCCAATCAAGTGGGTTCTGACGGAAACCCTGAAATGAACTCACTGTTAGCTCTAGTTTACTTTATCACTGCCCTATCTAACCCTGTCTGAGATCGAATGAGACTTACTTGTTATACTGCAATAGCGCAGCACAGGTGACTAGGCCACGTGACTATTTCTGATGGACGCGCGGAACGTCTTGTCTGTGTGAATGCTCTCCGGGACTGGGCCTAGCCAGCGTCGCGTCTCCCCAAGGCGCCAGCTTGGGCCTACGTGATATATTTTCCGCCTAACTAATAACTCCTTGGGACACCCGTAACATTACCCAGACTGCTAAACGATCTATAATAATTTCAAATTCAATAACAGTCCCTCAACTTCATGAATCGCATCATTATTAATTCGGCAAACCACATTTAATATCATATAGGCCTAGTTCCGCAGTCTCTCGCTACGAGCAGGCAGCGCTCCCTCCCCTCAGATGACCTTGAACGCTCAGTATCACTCATGGCGGGGCATTTGAAATTACTCTGAAATTTCTGAATATTACAATCGACCCCCCTAAAAAAGACAGCACTGTCCTCATGTGCTGAGAAAACATGCATACGACCCCCCTAAAATTTTGTTCTAAGGACTGCACCTCACCCCTTTTGCTAAATGCAGCATTCCCGTCTTCTCTTCTCTCCTTTTCTCTCCCGCTAACACTCGACCCCCCTAAAAAAAGACAGCACTGCCCTCATGTGCTGAGAGAACAACTTAGAACCCACCTTCAACTCTGTACTATTCCACTCGCAGCTAGCAACTCCATTTCTTCCTAGCCCAACTCAATCCAACCAGAACATCACACTCCCCTTTTGCCTGGCCCTTAACTAGAGAACCAATGTCAAAATTAATACCAGCCCAAAACAAACATGCTCTCCTTTGGCCTGGCCCTTGAACTAAGAGGAACCAGTGTCAAAAAAAATACACAGTCCAAAACAAGCATGCTCTCCTTTTGCCTGGCACTTGAGCTAAGAGGAACCAGTGTCAAAACAATACTCAGTCCAAAACAAACATGCTCTCCTTTTGCCTGGCCCTTGAGCTAAGAGGAACCAGTGTCAAAACAATACTCAGTCCAAAACAAACATGCTCTCCTTTTGCCTGGCCCTTGAGCTAAGAGGAACCAGTGTCAAAAAAATACTCAGTCCACGTCTCCGAACCTCATGCCGGCAGACCAACCCTCTGAAAATGTACCAGTCCATCTTAGTGAGGCCCTGGACATTACAACCGTACTCTCAATCCCGCTCATGACAGCAACTCAATCCCGCTCATGACAGCAACTCAATCCCGCTCATGACAGCAACCACTACTCAACGCACATCTCTGACCTAACCATCTCTCCAATCCCCTCTGCCCTACTCACAACTCCTCCAACTCACCCCCTACAACCTGCCTTTTCTCATTACCATGCACCCTAAACTGTAATCGGTCGGCTTCGTCTTGTCTCTCAGCTGGAGGGCTCGATCAACCTCTCTGAACTACTTACGTACCCCTATATTTCCCACTTGGACCTCACACTTCCTTGACTGCTGGACGTGTGCCTGACATTCACCCCTTGTTTCCTCCCTGAACTGTTGAATGTGTGCCTGAGACTCCCACTTGAACCTGTTTACCTGTGCTTGATAATCCCTCTTTAGGTCTCCGAACTCCTCTCTCAGCTGTACCAAGGTCCCGCGGCCGTCTCTCTTCCTACTCATACACATCTCTACTGTCAAGCCTAACCAACTCAGTCCGGGCACAAGGATGAGCATCAGTTGTCAGTCCTGTTTCAGGCCCAAACGTTACGTTCCCACCAAACTCCCTACGAAAGCAGGCAGCCCTCCCTCATTAGATTAACCTCAAATTTCAGTATCACTATATGGCATTTGAAATCCCATTCTTGAAATTTCTGAATATTTATTTATATATATATATATATATATATATATATATATATATATATATATATATATATGTATATATATATATATATACACTAAAGTTATATGAAAATACAGTAAGAAAACAATAACTGTAAATCCTGCTCCTTGATGACTGTTAACTGAATCTTTGCAGCACAACTAGTTGGCTTCTGATGTAATGTTTGACTTGACTCAATTACATCAAAAGTACTGGTGATGTTCCTATGGATCAATGATTTGAGCATTCTGTAATGCTATTTCCTCTCTAATGAGTTCTGCCAGATTCTTGAATCCCTGCAAATAAGAAATAATCACCCACTAGCATCAACAATATGGAATTGGAATACAGTACCGTATTATCTTAAAACAGAGGGAATTTTTGCAGACTGAGATTTTTCCAAAAGTAACCTTCATGGCTAAATACACATTCAACTAAAGTCCAGTACTGTACTTAAGAAAAACTATGAAACTTCTCACTAGCAAGAAAAGCAACAAGCGGGGAACTGTTGCCTTTGTCACAACTTAAAATGAATGCAAAGTTTCAGTTGTTTCTATCACGTTTGACTGAGAGTACGATATGAATAGCATTTAAGTGTTCACTGAGATTGGACAAGAGAACATCACAGCCAAAGAGCGTCTCTCACCATTCAAAATTAATTTTCATGAACAAACTCTTCTTAGTAATTCTGAAGCTAAGATATGATGTGATCTTGATAACCTGCAGGAGGGAAAATATCAAGCCAATTTAAATGTATTTTGTTATTGAAAATTCTGCATTGCTTGAAAGTAATCAATATTGTCATGATTGCTTGTGAGAAAACCAAGAATAAGAAAAAAGATACACTCTTCACTGATTAGTTAATAAAAAAATCTCCAGTCTTGGTCAATGTTTTAAAATAGTGACAACTAAAAATATGATGCATAGACACAGCATATTTAAAACTTACAGTCTCACAACTAAGCTTGTACTTGGGCATCCAGCTATAGTATGGCCGAGAAGTATAATAGGTAGCCATAGCGATCACTTGATTAGGTAACATATAACTTCTATTTGATAAGGATACTACAGTACTGTACTGTATTTCATTCAATGGGGAACAGTTTTAACTAAAGGAAATTTAATTAGTTAATATCTCTTTTTTAAATACCTATACAGTACTGTACCATGTATGTATGAAGGAGCAAATATTGAACAACGAATATAGAAAAAACATCCAATATCATGCAGTCAAAGAATTCAAGCCATAAATCAACAGGATACAAATACATTATTGACAAATATTTATGAGATGTAACAATAATAAACTACAGTACAGTATTTTCACTGTGTCAAGGAACTTAGTGAATTGATGAGATTTTGAAAACCTCATGTTATAAACTTATTTATAATTAAGATAACAGATCACTTATACAGTACTGTACTTAAAATATTACAGTGAATTTACGGTTTCTTCATCCATTTCACCCTGGTTCTGAAAATTTATTCCTGTAAAAAAATTTAAATTAATTAAGAAAAAAATATTGTATGATATTTTCACCTTCATCAACTGGTCTGCAGTGGCACAAGAGAAGGCTGCCCTCATGTACTGGCATGGCTTGTTGGAATCCGCCATGAAGTATTTACCAGGAACAAGCACAATGTTCTTCTTTACTCCTCTTTTCACTAACATTGAGGTAGTGTCTGCCACCTTTGGCACCTGGAAAGACCAAGTTCAAGACAAACCACCACACTTCTTAACTTCTGATTGATAATGAATATTAGGTCTCGAGTATATTTCATTAGAAGTAACATAATAAATGAAATGAATGCTTAAATCCTAAAATCTCATTTTATAACTGAGGGGAGTATAGGTTGGCCTCTCCAATCAAGGGGGATACAATCATTAGCAAGACCATGCTTGAAGGACCCATTAGATGGTGGAGTAGAGGATAAGTTCCTATCCAAACTTTACCCTAGAAGACCTACAATTGAAGTACAGTATACAAAGTTAAATAAATGAAAGCAGTAATGTCCTATAAGCTTTATATTCTACTGTAATTGTGAGAGCATAAAAAGTAATACTGTACAGTAATTTCAACACATAAACTACAAAAATATATGTACAGTACTGTACTGTACAGGGATCCTTCATTACCCAAATGTTTGCTATCCAAATATTATATTCTTAGACATCCTTTTCACTATCCAAAAGCTAATCAGATCGAAAACTCATATAAATTCAAATCAACCCACCCATCCTCACCCTCTTGTGATAAGCCCTGACAGCCCTCCAATAAGATAACGTACCAACTGTACACTATATTTTATTTATAATTTAGCAATTAGTTAAGCAATTACAATACAGTACAGTAGTTAGATACTGATTGGTTTTTTAGTTGTTTGTGAAATGATTTAAGTTTTTAGGTATAATACCTTGTACTGTACAGTAGCTAAAACAACGATCTGTGCATACTTTGTGGGAAACAATATGAGACCATGGACGATAAATTTTGGTATATGAGGGCTGTCACTAGTCACACGTAAAATTTTGGAGCATATCGACCCCCACTTGCACAGATGGTTGTTTTAGCTACTGTACATGTATTGGGGTTTTCTTGTTGTTGGGAACCTAACCCTATTTTTCTCATTTGTTCTGTTTTTTGCTTACCAAATGGTTTTGAGGGGAACCTAACCCATTCGGATAAATCAAAACATATAACAATAGGTATTTCCTGTGAGTGATATTACAAAAGATTAAGCAAAAGAACAGGTAAAGTATATATATCCAGTAGTATTTTCCAGAATTATATGAAAATCTACAGAATGTGCAAAGGCAGTATCTATTTTGGTACAATTGTTAGTGATGGTTTAACAATAGAGAAGGTTTTTGTGACGAAAAAAATTATTCTAAAGACAATGAAAAATATCAGTGAAAAGTGTTTTTGTTTTTTTGTAAGCAGAAGACAGTTTTACTGGGAAGAGTAGTACAGTATACATACCTGTACACAAGATTTATTTACTAAATGATAATGTGAACAAAACTTCCACATAATGTCACTTTCATATACTGTGTAGTTTTAATTAATCCATCTCACCACTTATTAGCTTACTACAAGTTACTAGTCAGTCAGGCTAGTCCAGTGTAAGCACAAGAGAAAATCGAAGTACCCAAAGAAAACCTGTCATGTCTGATTGGTTATAAGATTTTCAGGATCATCAACTTTACCCACAAGGATACTAAGGCAATCAGCACATTGCTTTTGAATTGGAGCACAAAAGTTAAAGTAGCAATTAGTGTTGTGAAAACACTAAGTCCAAACTTGACCAACACTGGCACATGTTTAGGTACAGTATTTCCAGAAGTCCAATCATGCCCAGTGCTTACCAATAATGCATAACAAACAAGAGGCTGTCTAACTGACTGGTGAGCTAGCAAGTGGTAAAGAGTTTTTGTAAGTAAAAATAAAACTTACCTTTAACCACAAGAATATGCCTCCCTTTGGAACAATCCATTCACATAAACCTGAGAAGAAGTGACTGTGAGACAGTTTTAGTAAAAAGTTGTTTTATTAATTAAGGTGACAAGTGCAAGAAACTCAGTAAACTGAAGGCTGTAGAAAAAAACAGCATTTTGCTTGCTCCAATAAGATGAGCAAAAGCTGTCTCTAATCTTTCAAGATACTGTACAGTGTAACATAATACTTTTGGAAGATTTTATGTATCTGATAATTTTAGAGTCAATATTAAGCTATTTCTTTGAGAAGGCACTGATCAAGAAACACCATGTAAATGAAATACAAAAAGTAAAACTTTTCAATTGCATACTGTATACCATTTCATTCAGTGTTCCATGATGTGGAGCAGGGTGCCACAACTAAACATTCTATTACCAATACAGAACTGTACATTCACCACAAATCTTTATTTGCAATTTAATTTTGGAGGAGAGTTTCAGCAACTGATGCTTAATTGCTCCCAATACATATCTATAATCTTTCCTGACTTGCACTAATCTCACACAAAGAAGTACTTATACCTTCATTACACATAAAAAAATACTGCCTGTAATGTCATGTGCATGCACACATCTCTTTCCCTTTATACAGTTTCATTCATAGTAGTTTCGCTAGTAAACAATTTATTTTCCATCACCCAAGTATCTTTCTGAATGGATTATGCATTACATGCATTTCAATTTCCCACACCGAGTTTGGGGAGTGATTGTGGGAAGCTCTTACTTGCCAAAGCACTTGTGGTGCTTATAGTGTGAAGCCATTCTAAACCTGCAAACTTAGTTCCTAAAGTTGTGAAACTACTTAGCACAAGGTGAATCCTCCACTCCTAAGCCAATCAGTCAGTGGTGAGGAGGATAAAGTATAAAGCATCCTTAGCCAAACCTGTAAGATGAATCTCAGCGGCTTGTATTGCAACATCTCTCTTGTCACGGTAGAATTGGTGGAGGTTTACAACGTACTTCTTAAAGCCATCTTCTCCCCACTCTTGTAGTAATGTACTTATTATCACCTACAAAAACATATTTCATCTTATTATTTCATAAACAGAAATACAAATACTGTACTGTGCAGTAATACCCAAACAAAAACTAATTCACTATTACCCTCTTTTCTTTTAATTCTACCAGTATATCGTAATTAAAAATTATGAATTGTAATGACCCAGGTGCACTTGCCATTTTATTTTATTATTATTATTAATGTTATTGCAGAGCAGGTTAAGAATGTGGGTGGAAGACAAGACTGCACCAAATGCCTTTAAGTTAGTTTATCATCATGGAGTAAGCAAGAAGCATCTTTAACCACCTCAAGGAAGAAGGTAAGGGATTGGCAACAGACACAATTATAAACAAAAGAGAGTAGTGTGACATATTCAAGTGTGTCATTCAGGAGGGTTGACACTACTACAACAATAGCATCTCCTTCAACACTTAATAAATTATATTCCTGTATATTAAGTGGCTCCATATACAGTAACTGTACCCTGGTTTATTCTTTAATCAACTGTCTATGAGTACCAGTAGCCAACTTAAGCCTATTGTACCATTCATAGGTATAGTACTGTATCTCCATATCAACTACAGTATAGTGGCCCCTCGGTTAACGAACTCAATCCGTTCCAGAAGGTCGTTCGTTAACCGAAACGTTCGTTAACCGAAACCATTGTTTCAATGGGTTTTTGGGTAATTGGTTCCAGCTCACCGAAAATTTCCTAAATTCAACAAAAATGGTAGAAAAGTTCACTTACTTTGAGGTGTGTATGTAGAAGGCTCCTGGATGATGATGATGATGGGATTTAGAATGGGGGTGGAGGAGAAGGAAGAAGAGAAGGCATTGGGGTGGAAGAGAAGTCACCCCATGGTGCCATTTCACCCATAAAATTTTAGCTCTCTGGTTTAAGTCAAGATTATTTTCTTTAAATCAACGCTGCACTGCATTATATATTGTCAATATATAAAATATATTTCAAAATGACCAATAATTTGCTTGGAAACACAGAAAAAAAGCGTTTAGTTGAAGAGAGTCTCAAGCAAGATGTTACCTCCAGTGAAAACAGAAAGAGACTGACGCCTGTTTGCTGTGTTAAGAGGCTGGATGCCGCGCATTAAACTAGTCACTTTACCTTCAATTTTGTTCAATAATTGTTAAAATGATTAAAAAAATTGAATATTAAACTTTTAAAATTATTGAATAGTATAAACTTCTTGATATTTACAAAAATAGTAAGGAATTTAAGCCCTAGAACCGATTAATGTATTGGCGGACTGATACTAAAACTGGTTGCCCGGTCAGTGCAAGCGAAAACACGTTGAGGTCGGTTCATAAGAAGTTCGTTAAGCGAATTTTTTTTCGTTAACCGAATTGAAGATCCTTATGGAAGGCAGTTCCTTAATCGAAATTACGTTAACCGAGGTGTTCGTTAAACGAGGGGTCACTGTATGCTATAAAGACCCCATTGATGTTGATTTGCTGAATGCTCTCTTCTCAAGAAATGCATCTAAAGCTAAAGATAAAGAATCCATGAGAAGCAAACCAGGTCTAGGATTCTTCTCATTGTTCCAGCTAACTTGCTGGCTTTTCAAAGCATTGGCCCTGACAAGTACAGTACAGTACTGTACCTATACAGCAGTTGTGTGTGTGTAGCAATTTACAACCATCTGAGATCAAAATTTAAAGAATGGCATTATGTTATGTAGAAAATCAAATTAATCATAAATTTATTATAAAAAATCAGAATGATAAAAAAAAATTTGTACAAGAATTTTACCAACATATATATTGTAGTTATGTCACTTATGAGCATACTGTATTAGGTAACCACCTGAGAGAGCATGGGCCCACAAATCACACTGGTCATCATGTGAATATTCAATCTCTCCAGAAGCATTGCTGGTCCTGTCACATAACCAACACGTAGTCCTGCGCTGATTATCTTGGAGAAGGAGTCAAAGCGAAGCACTCTACCATCGGTGTCCAAACTTAGGAAACTGGGCGGGGGTTTCTATGTGCATCAGAGAGAATGATACTTTTGAAGTACATATATATATGATGATTTTTTCTATAAAGTTACAATCCTGACCATGCTATAGCCTGTGTATCAAAATGCAAGCCCAAGTGGACAAGCGCTTGTAAGAAATAAAGTTAATACAGTACAGTATTGCACAGTAATGTCATTCTTCACCCTCAAGAAGCAAATGGGGAGCCCAACATGCCTACCCACCATATTATCAATACTGTAACTGTTTAAGAGCCATAACTACAACTCAGCAGTTAATTATTTTTCCCAATTTTCCTTGAAATAAGATTAGAAAGTAGAGGAAGCAATCCTCAAGTTTTGCTTGGGTGTTATCACTATAAACATAGATTAATGCAGTTTTCAAAATTAAATTGCTGTTCTTTCACAATGTAAACCTATTTTCAATACCTTTACAGTATTTCCACTGTTTAAGATGAGAAGTTATCACACATAAATGTGAAGCTCATATGATATTTTGCATTTATTAAAACTAAATTGTAAGTTAAAGAAACTAGTTTTTCTTTCATAACTAACACATCCCTTTCTTTGGAAGATCTATGAATAAAGGTCAATGAATAAAACAGCTGCAATTAGTCACTGGTCTGGTTATATCTACTGTATTTCAGAAATAACCTTGCTAATAAACTACTGTAGTTGGATTAATCGCAAGATCTTTTATACATACCCAGATGGTCCATTTCTAGTATACATTTCCAGAGATGTCATACTACCTCAACACTTGAAATACTGCAATTCTGCTTAGTCTCAGATATGCCAAAGATTAGAAAATGATTTAACCATCATGATAAATAACACACTGTACACAGTAAAGCTACTAAAGTGGTGCTGACACTCAGAAACCTCACTTACTAGAGCATTTCCAACTGCCCAGTTTATGTCACTGAAGAACAGAGGATGAGTTAACAAAAGGATAAAAGTATGTACATCAGAGGGGACCAATCTATCATAAGTACAGATCTGAAACTGGTAGAATGCCATCCCACTCAATGTCACATCCTAACATTAAAAAAGTTAACAGTACAGTACAAATTTTTTTCAAGAGTTGTGAACTCGTGGAATTCCCAGCCAGCAATGTTGTGCATGCATAATGTGTCCAACTTTATGCCCAAAACTTACAGTACTTGCCAACAGTGTATAACAGTCATGAATGACCACCCAAGCAGCTAACAAGCCAATCAGCGGTGAAGAAGATAAAGAGATAAATTAAAAAGTAATATCGGAATGTGTTTATGTATATAAAAGTCTGTGCATATTCATTACTCACCAACACTGTGCAACTGAGAAAGGATTGATTTCCCCCTTTTTTTCTTTTTTACGGGGATTACCGGTAGCCCATCCGGGCACAGGTCACTGACCCACATCAGGGCCGGGGAGGGGGGATATTATAATAATAATAATAATAATAATAATAATAATAATAATAATAATAATAATAATAATAATAATAATAATAATAATAATAATAATAATAATAATAATAATAATACCGGTAATAATAGCCTAATAATAATAATAATAATAATGATTATAATAATAATAATAATAGCCATTATTATTATTATAAAAATTCATAAAATTAATAACAAAATACTAAAAAAAAAAAAAAATAATAATAATCATAAATAAATACAAAAACGAAAAAGTAAATCAAGAATGAGAAAGGATATACAGTCAACCCTCACTTTACACGGTCCCGCATTCCGCGTTTCCACGTTTACGCGGTGCCTTGCCAGAACCTCACGTGCTCACATTACGCGGTACGTGAACACCATTACGCGGAGTGTCCGGGGCGACGCTATTTTTAGATTCGCCCCACCCGCCACCCGCCTGCCTGCCTGCCTGCCTCTCCCTCCTCCTCCCTCCGCTTGGGCAAGCGGCGCGGTAAGGTTGCGCAGTGTGTGTCTTTGTTGCGTTATCACTGACGTCATATGACGTATCAGACCTGTGATTGGCCATGCATCCCTACCCCCCTCTGCTGCTAGCTGTAATTGGCTTAAAGTATTATGACGTGTCCACCCGGGGGAGGGAGGGAGGGAGGAAAGACGACGCTTGACCTAGCCGCGGCAGTTTCATCCCTCAAGGCCACTCCGTGTAAACGCGCATCCATTGTTCCGTAAAATGGCTTCCGCCGGACCACCACCCCCAGAGAGAAACCTTTCCTTACCTGGACCCAGCGGCACTAAACCAAAGAAGACACGACGTTCCTTAAGCTACGAGGTGAAGTATAGCATCATCCAAGAGTTGGAGAAAGGAACAAGGCAGGTTGATTTGGCGCGCCAGCATGGCGTGAACGAATCTACGATCCGGACTATAAAGAAGGATTCAGCCAAGATAAAGGAGCACATGAAGATCACAAAGTCTACAGGTGCTTCTATGATCAAGTATTTTCACAACCAGGTGCTTCTCAAGACAGAAAAATTACTTGTGAGGTACTTGGTGCGTCAGGCGCGACGGAACATGGCGGTCGACACGCGCTCTGTTAAGGACTACGCACGTGAACTGTACATGGCAGTGGCACGAAAGATGGGAACTTCAGAGCCCAAACCCTTTAATGCTTCCTCTGGGTGGTTACAGAGGTTTAAGATCCGGAACAAGATCACCAATATAAACATTGGTGGTGAAGAAGCGAGTGCTGATCGTGCTGCGGCTCGGGAATTTCCTCCGTTTTTACGTGAGATTATGGAGGAAGGACAGTACAGTGACGACCAGGTGTTTAACATGGACGAATCTGGTCTTTTCTGGAAAAAGCTACCTTCCAAGTCCTTCGTTGTGAAGAATGCCAGCAGGATTCTGGGCCGGAAAATGCAGAAGGAACGCATCACCGTCCTGTTTACCACCAATGCCTCCGGTACCTGTAAGCTCAAGTTATCGGTGATCCACACAGCACGCAAGCCGCACGCCTACAAAACAATGGACATGACCAAGCTAAACGTCCACTGGCTGACCGCACGTAAGGCGTGGATGTTCTCTACACTGTCCCTCTCCTGGTTTGATGACTGTTTTGTTCCCGATGTAAAAAAATTCTGTGAGCGACAGAATGTGCCATTTAATATTTTGTTGCTGCTGGACAACGCACCAGGACACTTGCCCCTACTGCTAGATCGTCACCCCAACGTAAAAGTGCTCTTCCTTCCTCCCAACACTACGTCTTTAATCCAGCCCATGGACCAGGAGTTGATTTGCAATGTGAAAGCTGCATTCTCAACAAAAAAATTCCAGCTCCTGAACGACTACACCAACACCAGGGAAGAGTTGCGTAACCTGAGTGACACCACCACCGATAACAAGAGCGAAGAAGATGAGGATCAACAGTTAGAACAGCAAAAAATACTCTTCAAACAATTCTGGAGAGTATTTAACATCAAGAAAGCTGTGGACTTCTTGGTGGAGTGATGGGATCAGCTGTCTATTGCTACAATTCGTCACGCATGGAGACATGTGTTGCATGGAATACCAGGTGAGAGGAGGAGTCAATCTGTGACTGGTGAGGTTCAGAATGTTGCAGTAGCAGTGGACCTTGCCAGAGAAGCTGCGCAGACTGTTACAGTTCCAGGCTTCTCCGAGACCACCAACGACGACATCCTGGAGGTGATCAGAGATCCTGAAGTGACTGCCGACGAGATGTTGGAAGAAGAACACGTCAGTGAAGAGGAGGAAGAAGGTGCGTCATTCTCCGAAGAACACAATTTAAGTCATAGTGATATTAAGGGTGCCATGGAGTGTGCAGAGAAGATGAAGTCCTTCCTTTCCCGCGACAATGACGATGACCGCTATGAAGTCTTCCATACCCGGCTGGTGCAGGCTATGGAGCCGTACATCAAGGTGTATCACGACAACATCAACGCCAGCCGTCAGCAAAGCATAACAGATTTCTTCGCCCGCAACCCACCACAGCCAGCCCAGTGAAGATGACTTTGAGGGATTTGTCAGGGAAGCCCTGACAACTGTAAGTGACAGTGATGGTGATTCACCTAGTAATGGTGATTCACCTGAGGGCCAGTAATCTGCCCTCTGCCTCGGAACCAGCCTCCATCCCCGTATGCCGACCCATCTCTTCTACTACCGTAAGTGTTACACCTAATTTTTAGTTTTCTAACCTAACCTTTATTTTTCCTATGTTAACCTTTATCTTTCCTAACCTAACCTCTTCTATATTACTTGTTTTTTCATACCATCATAAAGTTAAGATAAAATTTTTACTACAACATAGTTGTGTGTCGTCAAAAAGTGGAGTTTGGGGATCGGCCCGGACTCCATTTCAATTAATCCCATATGTTATGTTATTCACTTTACGCGTTTCTCACTTTACGCGGGACCCTCCGGGTTACATTAACCGCGTAAAGTGAGGGTTAACTGCACTGTACATTATGTATGTTGTGCAATAGTTGTCTGGGCGGGCGGGCGGGCGGGCGGGTCGTGTTGCGTCTCTGTAACAAAGCGTGTTCGGCATTCGGGCCTTCGATGTAGAGCGGCAGAAATTGGACAGTGATTCCATAAGATCGTCAAGATCGTCTTAATGATGTGAAAGTGTAAATCGATGTAGGGCTTTAATGCTAGACGCGATTGTATTTTTGAAAACTCAATTTCCACCGAGTTGGAGGTACAGCCAAGGTCACAGGCCTATAACCACAAAATCACTGCCACATAACAAAGCTTTTATTTTATTTTATTTTTTAAGGTGTTGTGGTCACAGCTGAGATAAAGGCCAACCAGGGAGTGTAGTACTGTGATTTTAGGTAAACCAGTTCATTGTGTCATCAGTGACCACAGAAGAGGCTGTAAATAACTTAAAGTGAATACATATTGGCAATCAAGCTGGTAAGGACCACTGCCAGCCTATTAATGTCATAGGTGCCACAGAGACTTTAAATTTTATTTTGTTTGTGTGCTTTCTCAAGGACTGAAACTGTGTTTATAATACACCACTCACAGGGAGATACAGTGTACACAGTGATAGTTCATAG